ACAAGGTCTCACTATGCGGTTCAGACTGGTCTTGAGCTGTGTAGCCCAGGCTGGTCTCGAACTTTCAATGATCTTCCTGCCTCAGCCTCCCCAAGTGCTGGGATTACAGGCGTGTGCCACCATGCCAAGCTTAGTCAGTTTCTTTAAACTGAAGTATTTTATTAGTTTATTTCTTTCTTTCTTTTATCTTTTTGAGACAGGGTCTCACTATGCAGTTCAGACTGGTCTTGAATTGTGTAGCGCAGGCTGGTCTTGAACTTGGAACAATCATCCTGCCTCAGCCTCCCAAGTGCTGGGATTACAGGCGTGTGCCACCACGCCCAGCAAACTGAAGTATTTTAGAATGAATTAGAGAGTAGGGTTAGGCTTTGAAAAAAAGAAAGTAAATTAGAGGGATTTGGGGATATTTTTTGTTTAGGTTGAACATGCCTTGTGCATGCTAAGCACACACAAGTGCTTTACCACTGAGCTGCATTCCTAATCCTGGAAGCATTTTGAGACTATATTCTTAAGTATTTAGTATGCACTTGTAAAAAAATGAACATTTTTTCTTATAAGCAGTTTAACACTTTTAAATCTTATAAAATCAGTTTATCTAATATTGGCCTATGGAGTATCTATTTTATATATTTGTGTGATTGCTTCCTCATGGGTATCATTTATCTTGTTTCTCTATTTCCTCTGTTCCCTTTGAAGTAGAAGTTAGAAGTACCAAGTTACAGATAATGTGTCATGTACTACCTGAGTGTAGAAGGCATAGAGTATCCTCTTTACATAGTGGGGCTGATTCATTCTCTTACCTCTGAGATACTAGAGATGGAAGATGGAACTGTGCTGGACATGCACAGTACCACTGAGTTGTATGACCAAGCCCCTTTTTATTTTTTACAATATTTTTAGTTTTAATTTATTCTCATGAAATTTACACAGTCATCACAGATAAAATCATTGTAGAATCTGTATTTTTTTAAAATCAGATTTTATTGGTACATTTTAGATATTCATAACGATCATATTGTGTACTGCTTATTTTGCCAGTACCAACATTGACCTTTGTAACACCCCATACTCGCTTCATTCTGTTCTTGTATTTCACTGTTTTCTTAAGATATTCTCTATATATAGATTGGCTTACAAGTCTCTGTTTCGGGTCATTTTCCTTTGCATCATCCTAGCAATCATAGTTAATTTTTTGCCACCACCAGAATGGATTCTGAATCCAAATACAAAAATGACATCTACTGTAGTTTTGTATATTTTGGCATGTTTTCTCCAAATTTCTGTCTTAGCTACTGTTGTTTTCTCAGGGTAAAAAGTAATTAATGAGCACTTATTTCCTCTGAAGTAGTAGATCAATTGTGAACTTCCTGGTCCTGATAGTTACTGTGACATTCTTGATGTTGGTAGATGATCAGGAACCAAGGGAGGAAAAGAGCTTATTTTAATTTTTGAAAAATGGTCTTGCTGAATTGCCTAAGCTGAACTTCAGCTGATGATCCTCCTGCTTCAGCCTCCAGAATAGCTGGGATTATAGGCTTGTGTCACCAAACATGGTTTAATGTTCTTCTATTGAAGTTATTTATTGCCCCTTTTGATCAGTCAGCAGTATATGTGTAATTATTTTGTTTCAAAGGAATATCCTGTTCCCTAGCAGCCATTTCTGTGAGGTTTTTATGAAAATCCCATTGAAGATCTTTCCCTATGTCAGTAATTTCATTAAGGGATTCAAAATAAGGACTTTTAGATTTTATCATTTCTTCTACTTTTAGCTAACAAACTCTTTCTTGATCTGAACTCAGAAACGCTTACAAGGCAAAATTTCTTTAACTTTTTTTTTTTTTTAATTTTAAAGAGTAAAAGAAGGGCAACATAGCAACAGGGGCATTCACCAAATTACAGACAAAGTGGTAGTACATTATCAATGGTTGTTATTTTACCTGTTGGCATCTTTAAGATAATTTCTCAGGAAAGCAAATAGACAAATAATAGTGAGTTATAGACAGAAATGGCAGGAAATTATCAATGGTTGTTGTACTATATCTTGATTTCTCCAAAGTGGTCTCTAGGGAAAACAAATTGAGTGATCAATCAAATCAAATTGATCACTATACATAAGTGATCAATCAAATAATCATTGATTGTTCTCAATGGTTGTTGTTTATTTTATTTTATTTTCTGGGTTTTTTTCCGGTACTGGGAATCGAACTCACAACCTTGCACTTGCCAGGCAGGCGCTATGCCGCTGAGCTAAATTCCCAGCCCCCTCAATGGTTGTTGAAAACACATAGTAACAAACATACATCCATTTATGAAATAGCATAGGAACAATACAAACATTACAGAGTTATGGACAGATTGGTAGGAAATCATCAATGGCTGCTGCAATACATGTTGGCATCCTGAGAATGGTTTCTCAGGAATCTTTACTGTTAATTACTAGTTTTAAGCTGGGTGTGGTGGTGCATGCCTATAATCCCAGCACTCACTCAGGAGGCTGAGGCAGGAGGATCTTTGCAAGTTCGAGAGTAGCCTGGGCTACAAAATGAGCTCAAGGATGGTCTGAACTGCATAGTGAGACCCTGTCTCAAAACACACACACAAAGAAAATTGCTAATTTTAACATTAACTGCTAGTTAGTAGCTTTAATTGGTCACATACTGGGTAAGTTTTTTCTTTTATTAGATTACCATTATGGATTTAAACTTCAGCATAGTAAATTACATTTAACAAAACCTTCCATATTAACTATTTTTTGAGTATACAATTCAGTAACATTTAGGTATATTGTTGTGCAAACTATCACCAGCGTTCCTCTCCAGAACATTTTTCTTCCTTTTTAAATAGAGTAACAGTAATTAATACATTGAATATTGTTATCTTCAGAGTAGTTACTCAGAGTACAAGATATAAGCTTGAGATATTGTCCAAACAATATTAGCACAAAATTTTTCTATCTTCCCAAATTGAAACCCAGTACCCAACAACTAATACAGTAATTCCCTCTCTTCCTTAGCCCCTGGCAACCACCATTCTGTTTTCTTACTGTGAATTTTTTCCATAAAGATACATGTTAGTGAAATCATGCAGTACTTAACAGTTTTATGTGTTTGGCCTGTTTCCCTTAGTGTAATGTCTTTAGGGTTCATCCGTGCTGTAACCCGTTAGAATTTCATTTCGTTCTTGGCGCCGCATGGTGGCACACGCCTGTAATCCCAGCACTTACTCAGGAGGCTGAGGCAGGAGGATCTTTGGGAGTTGTAGAGCAGCCTGGGTTACAAAGTGAGCTCAAGGCCAGCCTGAAGTGCATAGCGAAACCCTGTCTCAAGAAGACCGAAAAAAAAATTTTTTTTTCATTTCATTCCTTTTTTTGTCTTTTTGAGACAGGGTCTCACTATGTAGTTCAGGCTGGCCTTGAACTCTTTGTAGCCCAGGCTGGCCTCAAACTTGTAGTGATCCTCCTGCCTCAGCCTCCCAAGTGCTGGGATTACAGGCATGCACCACCATGCCCAGCTTCATTCCTTTTTGAGTGCATTATTTTTATCAAATTTTAACAGTTTTGGCCTGTGGATTCTATTTATTCTTTTCATTCTTAGGTAAGTTCCCGCTGTGAAGAAGAAAGCCTTCTGTCCCGCTGTCAGTCTGGTAATCAGAACAAGCAGGTGGATGAGAATTCTTTTATTTCAACCAAAGAAGAGCCTCCAGTTCTTGAAAGGGAGGCTCCGTTTTTGGAGGGGCCCTTGGCTCAGTCAGAACTTGGAGTTGGTCATGCTGAGTTGCCACAGCTAACGTTGTCTGTGCCTATGGCTCCAGAAGTCTCTCCGAGGCCTGCCCTTGAGTCTGAAGATATGATTGTTAAAACACCAGGTAAGGTGGGTATGGGTTCTCAGTATGTAAGTGGATATAATTGGAGACAGCAAGAGATTTGTAGTATATTTTGATGTGAAACTAACATTTTCACTAAATATAGCAAAGTGGTCACTCATTTGATAATATCTTACCATGAATAAATTTGTGATAGATTCTCAAGAACATATATTTTTAAAAACTACCCTGCTTGCTCTATTGCTACTTTCATGATTGATGATCAACTACCATGTGAATCAATAACCAAGGATAACAGAATTTGGGGATCAGCAGTGCACACTACTGTAATAACCACTTGAAACCTGTGTTTGAGATACTTTCTCCACCAACCCCTGTATTACTTGGGAAGTTGATTAACCTCTGAATTTGTTTCCATACCTATAAAATGGATATTGTAATGTAGTAATGTATAATGTTATAAATTTGAACATATAATAAGCAGTTAATAAATAGTCCCTAGAAGTTAGTTAGCAGCCATTTTTCATTTTATCATGGTTTATTTACATATGTGTCATGTGGTAGAGTTAGATCTAAACATATTTTCTCATTCACATTTTCACAATTGAATTTTTCAGTCAGCCAAGGAAAGGAATAAAGTCTTCTATTTTTGGTTCTGTGGTTTCAGGGCAGAGCAAGTGCTAGGCAAGTGCTCTATTACTGAGTCCATCCTAGCCCCAAAAGATTTTTTTAAAGATTGGTAAATATAATTACTGTTTTAATACCTGTTAAGTGCTAAATCTGGTCAGTAAGCTGTTTTATCTAATTCTACGAATGGTCTGCTAAAGTAATTGCCTTTTATTTATTTATTGAACTTAGACTTGTTTAGTGAAACAGCAAAAGTTGTAACGCTGGTCAACCCATGGCCAGAATCCAGGTTTTCCTTCACTTACTTTGTCCTTACTACTAAAAAATGCAGTTCATGCTTTTGTCTTGATTATCATGTAGTTTAAAAAAAAAAAAATCAGCTTGTAGAACAACATCCTCATGTTAGATTATATCTTGAAATTTACTAAATAAATTTTATGTTATGGTTTTATGTTAAGTAATATTTTAAAATAAAGAAATCCCACTGGGCGTGGTACATGCCTGTAATCCCAGCACTTGGGAGGATCATTGCAAGTTCGAGGCCAGTTTGGGCTGCATAAATGATTTCAAGGCTAGCCTGAATTGCAGAGCAAGACCTTGTCTCAAAAAGACTGGGGAAAAAAAAAAAAAGGAGAGAGAAAGAAAAATCCCTATCTTGTCCCTCCCTATAAGATGATGAGGCAAATCCAAACAATCTTGTGACTTGTGTTAGAATGTTCAAAATTACCTTGTGCTCAGTTTCTAAAGCCCCTGATGAAAAGACGTGTGCATTTCAGGAAACTATGAAAGTAAACGCCAAAGGAAACCAACTAAGAAACTTCTTGAATCCAATGATTTAGACCCTGGATTTATGCCCAAGAAGGGGGACATTGGCTTTTCTAAAAAGGTATGTTATTTTGTCTATTCTAAAATAGGGTTAAGCCAGGAAATATAAGGTTTAAAAGTAATCTTTTTAGTAATATTCATAACACTGATATACATATATAGTAGTCTTCTCTTAATCTTAATCTTAATCCGCAGTTTCACATAACTGTGGTCAGCTGCAGCATGAGAATACTAAATGGAAAATTCCAGAAATAAACATCTTATAAGTATTAAGTTGTGTGCATTTTGGAGTAGTGTGATGAAGTCTCACGTCATTACCCCTTTGTCACACTCTGGATGTGAATCATCTTATTTGTCCAGTGTATCCAGGTTGTATGTATTATCCACCTGTTTGTTGTCATGTAGCTATGTAGGTTGTTAGATCAGCTGTTTTGGTATGATAGTGTTTGTTGTCAAGTAACCCTTATTTTACTTAATAATGGCCCCAGAGCACAAGAATAGTGATGCTGGAAATTTGGGGTTGCTGAGAAGAAGCTGCAAAGTGCTTCCTTTAAGTGAAAAAGTGAAACTTCTTAATAAGAAAAGAAAAAAAAATTCATATGCTGAGGTTGCTAAGCTCTAAAATAAGAATAAATCTATTCATGAAAGTGTGAAGAAGAAAATAGGAATACATGCTAGTTTTTTTGTCAACACCTCAAACTACAGAAGTTATGGCTACAGTGCATGATAGGTGCTTAGGTAAGATGGAAAGGTATTAAATTTATGGATAAAAGAAATGAACAAAAAAACCCCAATAATCCTGGTGATGGCAGAGTGTTGCATTAAAAACATTGAGCTTCTTTGAATACTTCAGCAAGAGATTCCCCTGCAACAAGGGACACCAAGCCAAACCATTTACTGCAAGTAAAAGATGGTTACATACATTTAAGAACAGGTTTGAGCCGGGTGTGGTGGCGCATGCTTGTAATCCCAACACTTAGGAGGCTGAGGCAGGAGGATCGTTGAGAGTTTGAGACCAACCTGGGCTACAAAGTGAGCTTAAGGCCAGCCTGAACTGCATAGGGAAACCTTGTCTCAAAAAAAAGGTTTGGACTGAATAAAAATTCCTGAAAAGTCTGTCTGCTGATGAAGAAACTACGGCCAAATTTTCAGAGTTGAAGTTGAGGAAGGGTACCATCTAAAGCAAGTTTTCAATTGTGATGAAACTGGGCTCTTCTGGAAGATATCCAGTAGAATTTATATTAATAGAAGTGCAAAGGAGGCACCAGGGCATAAAACATGGAAGGAAAGATTAATTCTGGTGAGTATAGTACAATAAGATATTTTGAGAGAGAGAGAGAAACCACATTCACATAACTGTTCATTATAGTATACGTGTTCTATTGTTACTCTGTAATTGTGCCTATTTTATAAATTAAACCTTATTGCAGGTATGTATATATAGGGCAAAACATGACGTTATATATACTGTTCAGTATTACCTATGCTTTCAAGCATTCTTTGGAGGTCTTGGAATGTATTCCTTATTTATGAAAGGGGACTACTGCACAGTAGAAATCAAGAGTGTCAGGAGCATACATGATCAATAGAGATCCTGTATTAAAAGACTTTTGCAGTTGAATGGCCATGTGTATAAACTGGCTTCAGATTTTTTTTTTTTTTACAAGTGGAAAAATTTTAACAGCTTTCAAAATTGAACAAAATTTATGTTTGTGATAATTCTTTTCTGTGCTTAAAACCATTCACGTAACTCCTGTGTAAGTTCAATCTCTTAAATCATTAGTCTACTTTTATCCTATTATCTTGTCTGCAAAACACCTCAAAAACCTACCTTTGTTATAATCTCAGCATATTCCTGATAGTATATACATGATTGTGTTATGCCACCTGATGGGACAGTTAAATTTGTACCACCAGTCATTCAAGCTGCCTGAGAGGACAAGTCATACATATATAGTTCCATTGTTAGTGTGTTAATTGTTCTGTTTGATGGTATAAGACAATTGTGTAAAGCCCCTGTTACTATCATTGAAGCTAAGGCCAATCTTATACTATAACCCAGAACTTCCTGTGTTACTGTCAATCATCTTTCTTCTCCTGTCTAAAACTGATGCTTTCTTCTGTCACTAGTGATCAGTTTTTCTTGTTCTTAGACATCAACATTGGTTTTTCTTTTACTCCAGCTTCTTTTATTCAACATCGCTGTCTCTTTTGGGGGGGTTGAGGAGGGTCGAGACAGAGCCTCACTGTGTAACCTAGGCTGGCCTTGAATTCACAGTGGTCCTCCTACTTCAGTCTCCTGAGGGATGGGATTACAAGCATGTGCTACCATGTGCGGCTTTTTAAGATAGAGTTCACATATTAAGGAACATAAACAATCATCGTGTGTTTAACACAATATTCTCCAGTTCCATCTATTTTCCTGCAAATAATACCATTTTGTTCAATTTAATAGCTGAATAATATGCCTCTGTGTGTGTATATACCACATTTTCTGTATCCATTGGTCTTTTGATAGGTGCCTAGGTTGATGTTTCTGTATTTGGTATTATGAATTGTGCCCAATAAACACAGGTATGCAGGTGTCCCCATAGTATGATCACAGTAATCCCTTTGGGCATATAACAAGTAGTGATGCAGTGGGTCATATAGTTTTTTGGAGAACCGCCATATTTACACTATGGTTGTCCTAATTCATATTCCCACCAGTAGTGTAAAACACTTCTTTTTTTCCCTGGTTTGCTGTCATTTTAAATTTAGACAGTCTGATGAGTGTTAACATTTCATTTTTCTTTTCATTTTCTTTTTATTAGTACATGTTTGAAGTATATAATGATTACATTTATTCTGGGGAGTCAATACATATGCATCACACATTTTAGTTCCCTATTTGTCCCCTAAGTATTAACATTTCATGATGTTTTTTATTTTTTATTTTTTTGGTACTGCGAATTGAACTCAGGACCTTGTGCTTGCCAGGCAGGTGCTTGTGCTGCTGAACCCAGTTTTTTATTTTTCTAATCATTATGATTAGTGATGTTGAGTCTCTTAGTATCTGTCAACTGGCCATTCCTAGGTCTTTATGAAATAACCGCTGAAGTACAGTGTACTTAATATTTTTGGTCTTTGATTTAGCCATTCCTTTTTTGTGGGTGGGTTTAGGGTTTTTTGTTTTTGAGACAGAGTCTTGCTGTATAGTGCAGGCTGGTCCTGAGCTCGCTTATGTAGCCCAGGATGGCTTGAAACTTACAGAGGTTCTCCTGTCTCAGTTCCCGAGTTCTGGGATTACAGGTATGTGGTACCATGCCAGACGTGTTTTTTTTTGTTTGTTTGTTTGAGACAGGGCCTTTCTGTGTAGCACAGGCTGGCCTTGAACCCACTATGTGGCCCAAGCTGGTATTTTCCTGCTTCAGCCTCCCAGGTGCTAGATATGAGTGTTAACCCTGCCCAGGTTGGTTGATTTCTTTTTTAATTAGTACTTTGTGTATTTGAGATTCATATGCTTTGCCAGATACATGTACAGTATTGTAAATATGTTTTCCCAGCCTGAGGCATTACTGTTTAGTTTCTTAGTGGTGTGTTTTTATAAGAAAATTTTATGGTATTTTCTTTTTTGGTACCAGGAATGAAACTCAGGACCTTGCGCTTGTGAGGTAGGCACTTGTGCCACTGAGCTATAGCCCTGGCCCATATAAGAAAATTTTAAATGCCTTGATTTGTTTACATTGATGATTGATACGTTTTATGTCTTCTAGAAATTTTTACCTAGCTCATGAACACAGAAGTTCTTTTTTGTTTTACTTTTGATGTTGTTCCTTTGTGTTTTTAGTTGGAAGTCCTGGGATTCACAGATTTTTGGTTTTTTTTTTTTTGAGAGAAGGTCTTGCCTATGTAGTTCAGGCTGGCCTCAGACTCGCAGCATTCCTCCTGCCTCAGCCTCCCCGAGTGCTGAGATTGCAGACATGTGCCACCATACCTGGCAATCCATTTTGAAATTTTGAAATGGAGTCTTAAAGTTAACTTTCTCACCATATAAATAGTGAATTTAAAAAAAATCTCTAAAATTCTGCTCCATCTCTGTCTTTCTAATCTCTTTTAAATTGTATGCTATTATTGAATTTTAGCTTTTTGGGGATGAGTATGGGCATTACATGTGGTAGTAGAACAAGAGAAAACCAGGATTAAGGGTGATGGCTAGCACCAAGCTGAAAAGTGGCTCTTTGTTCTAGGAATTTGTACTGCCATCTGACATAGTCAGTTTCATCATTGAGATCCTGGTTACTTTGGGGCATTATGTCATAGGATTCTAGGTTAGAATGAGATTATGTCTTTGCAGTGTGACTACTCTGTCTGTAGGTAGATTAATCAATATGTTAGAGAGGTAGGAATTAGTCTGTTGAGATAGGATGTGGTTTAATATATATCCACATTCGACTAAATGTATAAATTACCGAAATCTTACATCCTGCAAGGTACTTACAAAGTTTTGTGGTTCTTTCATTCTGAGCAGAGCAGATGGATTTTTACTTGTATATTATGATAATGAGTGATATTTTTATTTTAATTTATAAAATTGATGAGGTTAGAAATGAGAATATTTTTTGCATTATTCTGAATGTAGTTTTGGGAACATTGTAATTATTTTTCTCCTTCCCTTTTGTGTGAGTGTTAAAAATGAATAGGTTGGTTGTGTAAATTATGTAGATGCTGTTTTTTTTAAATTATGTAAATCTATTTTGTAATTTTTGCCAGGAGTCTTTTGTTCCTTTAAGGATACCTAATGTTTACCCTTACATTTTATTTTACTTCATCAGAACTTGTTAAATGCTAAATATGAGGAAATTTGTAGTTTCATGATTTATTTCTATATTTTAATGAGCATTTAAAAATTCACAGCTGTGGGTTGTTTTTTTTTTTTTTTTTTGGTCAAACTTTAGAAACCTTATAAGAATGGCATCTAGTATATTGACTTTTTACTTAGAATAACATTCTTATAGGAGTGGATATTTTCTTGGAATACAATTGTTATACAAACAGTAGTCGGTTAGTAAAATGTTCAGCTTGTTGAGTTTTAATGTTACTTTTAGATTTACCTGAAACCACTTAAGTTATAAGGACATTCTGTGCTTCTGAACTGTTTAATATTTACTGTTCATCAGGTAAATAAGTGTCAAATCTAATGGTTATAAATAAAATTTTAGGAAGGTAAATTTTAACTACAGTGTAGGGTGGAATAGAGCTGAACTTGGTGGGTCTCTTAGTACATATTCCTCTTCCTTTCCCAGAAACTTTAGGCAAAGGAACATTTGTATCTGCCTTATTTATAGGAACAGGGTAACCTGTTCTTTTTAAAATTTTTTGCAGTGCTGGGGTTGAATCCAGAGCCTGCTGCATGCTAGGCAGGTACTCTACCACTGAATTTCAACTCTATAACCTTCTTCCTTTTCCTTTTTAAGAAAGTCTTTCCCTTGAAGTTTATCTTCAAACCTTTACTATTATTATACTGTTCTTTGAATTTCCAAAAGTGGCAAGAATTTGGTGTTTATGGCAGTGGAGAATTCAGATTTGAATATAAAAGTTTATTTTGTATTCTTGGTAAATTATGTTGCTTTTTTACTTATTTATAGTGTTATGAAGGTGGTCATTTGGAGAATGGCATTACTGAATCTTGTACTGTGTCTCATTTGAAAGAATTTCGTAAAGGTGAGTATTTTTGATAGCTAGTAAATATAATCAGAAATAAACTTGAAATTTTGAGACTGGTTTTTCCAAAATATGCTTCTTAAAACTATGCACCACAGTAGAAAATTCCTGGGCCAGGGATATAGCTCAGTGGCACAGTGTCTGCCTGGCAAGTGTGAGGTCCTAAGTTCTATTCCTGGTACAAAACAAAAACAAAAACAGTAGAAAATTCTTAAGTTTCTTTTTTGCTTTATGCTGCTACCAGTTAAATGAAGTTACAATCATATATGAGTAAGGAAATATGTAGAACAATAGAGAAAAATAAGGTACTTAGTTTCATTATTAGTCTGAGTCTGCAGACTATCATTGATTTCTTGCCTTTAAATTTTTATTTCTGGGCTGGGGATTTAGCTCAGCGGCAAAGCACCTGCCTAGCAAGCGCAAGGTCGTGAGTTCGGTTCCCGGTACCGGAGAAAAACCCAAAAAAAAAAAAAAAAAAAAAAAAATTTTTATTTCTATAGGGTATAAAATGTGGAATCTTTGAGGGGGGAAATCATAAATGACTTAAGTCAATCTTTCACAGATTGTCCTAGTTTCTGTTATGAGCTCTATAACCACTGGTCAGTTGCCATAGGCTTGAAAAAGCATATATTGAACCTACCCATTTTGGTTGTTCCCTGAGGGATTGGGAATCTTCCATATGAAATTGGAAGCTGTCTCCTGTAACTTCTACTTAGTGATGTTGTTTCTGTCCTCAGGAAGGATGAATAGTTCTTCATCCATAACATGTAAGATACTCATAGATTATTTACTCAACCAGGGCTTTTGGTTGGAGTATTACCTCTAATCCATCTAAAGCATTACAAAGAGTTAAAATATTATCTGTACTATCCCTGTTTTAAAGTAGAAACAAGATGAACAAGGAATTAGGATTGAGAAACTAAATCCAGACCAAATTCATTGCCACACTACCATCTTACCTTGCCCAGATTTTCTCCATGCTAGTTCTTTCTACCATTTTGATAATCTTCATGCTGTGATACTATTGATTGATGTCATTCTTGAAATATTATCCCAGATTTAAGAATACTTCACTAAATCCAATCTTCAGTAGTTACTAGATTATATTTCATGTGGTTTTAGATACATCTTTTAATATGATCCATGATTATTAAATTTTTTAGCACCATGTTAATTATAATCATACGGGCAATTATAATCTCATTAGTTGTCAGTTTGCTTGCTTGCTTTTAAAGTAAGCAAGTATTTTACTTTTAAAGTATTATTTATTTTAAAGTATTGTACTTCTGAAATAATGTCAGTTCTTTTCTTTTTTTTTTTTTTTGTAAAAACCTACTACATGAACTCTATCCTTTATAAATCTAAGTGTTCCAGCTCCTAAGTATTTTCATTTCATAGGTTGGGGATATAATTCATTGGTAGATTGTTTGCTTAACATGCATTAGGCCCTGAGCTCAATGCCAAGTACCACCAAAAACAAACAAAAATAATAATTTTCAGCCTTTGTGTTGTCAACATATTTAAAAAGCTTTAGACTATCAACAGCTTTGATTATGGCATCTCTATTTTGATCTGACAGTCATAAAAAACAGCATTGAATTTTACCCTGAATCAAGGCTAGCAGTTTGCTGAAGCTGTTGGTTTCAAGCAGGAGCATATATATTGCCTGTTGGCTATTTCAGAACTTTAGAAATGTAGTGGTCAATCCATTAGAAAAAGCAGCTAACTGAAAAACGAAATTACAGCATTAGACCAGATGTGGTAGTACAGGCCTGTAATCACAGCACTTGGGAGGCTGAGACAGGAGGATTGCTGCAAGTTCAGAGCTAGACTGGGCCTCGTAGTGCGTTCGAGACCCAACTGGACTACATAGTGAGATTTAAAAAAAACAAAAAAAACCAGCCTGAATTACATAGCAAGACCTCTCTCTCAAAAAAAAACTTAAAAAAAATTTTTTTTGTAGTTTTAAATTTTTTTGTTTTTGTTTTTGTTTTTTTTTTGGTTTTTCTCCGGTACCAGGAACTGAACTCACGACCTTGCACTTGCCAGGCAGGCGTTTTGCTGCTGAGCTAAATCCCCAGCCCCTTAAATATATTTTTTAAATGTATAAATAAGCTGGGCATGGTGGCACATGCCTGTAATCCCAGCTCTTGAGCGACTGAGGCAGGAAGATTACTGTTTGAGGCCAGCCTGGGCTACACAGTGAATTTAAGTCCAGCCTAAACTACACAGCAAGATCCTGTCTCAAAAAAACAAAAAACAACAAAAAATAAAATGTACAGATGTTAAAACTAAAGATTAAAGAAAAGATAGCACTGAAGCAATTAGTCTTCAAAAGTCTGTTATTCATATTGATACCTAGCAAAAGTATCTTGGAACACTTTATGAGATATCTCTGTTCCTCATGGTGTCTCTGTAGCAAGGAGTTGAACTGTGTCTTGGGAACTGAGGATGGCACTAGAGCAGTGATGGCGAACATTTTAGAGTTTTAAATGATGCAAACAGTCTGCTGCAGCACACATGCCATAGGTTCCCCACCACTGGACTAGAGTTTCTTTTTCTGAACTTGTCAGACAAGTTCACACATTCACATCATACTCTTAGATATTTGAGGATTGGGGCTGGGGATTTAGCTCAGCGGCAAAAGCGCCTGTCTGGCACGCGCAAGGTCGTGAGTTGGGTTCCCGGTACCGGAGAAAAACCAAAAAAAAAAAAAAAGATATTTGAGGATATATTACCACTGGATAAATATATCCTAATTCGAGCAACAAAATGATTGAGTAATTTCTCCCTGCTCTTCTATAAACCAAACGTTAGGGCTGGAGATGTAGCTCAGGGGCATAAGGGCCTGCCGGGCAAGCTCAAGTTCCTGAGTTCAATTCCCAGTACCTACCTACCTACCTACCTACCTAAATAAATAAACAAACCAAATCTTATAATTTTCCGTCTTTATCCTTAAATCATACAGTGATATAATTGTGTGTATGTGTTTATGTATGTTTTTTTGAGACAGGATTTCACTGTGCAATTCAGGCTGGCTTTGAACTCACTTTGTAGCCCAGGTGGCTATACAGTGATATAATTTATTATCTCTCATCTTAGAGTCTAGGGATTAGTATCTTTTCCTGAGTAATAAATACATTTTCCCAGGCTGGGGAGGTAGTGCAGCGGCACAGCACCTGCCTGGCAAGTGCGAGGCCCTGAGTTCAATTTTCGGTACCAAAAAAAAGAGAAAATAGGTTTTTTTTTTTTTTTTTAAAAAGACTAAATACATTTTCTGTCCATCTATAGTATATTCAGATCCTTCCTGAACTAGAAAGTGTGTCATTTCAATCTTATGAAATGAAATGGCTTTAGTGTGTGAGGCAGAACTTCATCAAGTTACTTCATCAAGTAGTTATGAGTAGATGGGTAGGTCTCTTTGCTTTCTTTCCCATGGAAAGCTGGAGACTAAATGAATTTTAAAGCTACGTACCAGCAAGTGTGGTGGCACACTCTTGTAATCCCAGCACTCTGGAGGCTGAGGCAGAAGAAGTACTAGGAGTTGGAGGACACCCTGGGCTGCATAGTGAGGTCAAGGCCATCTGGAATTACATAGTGAGACCTTGTTTGAAAAAGCCGATGATAATAATGAAGTTAACATACCATAACTCTGAGACCCTTTATTTAAAGAAAGGAGCTTTTGGATATATGTGTAACTAGTCATTAGGTAACATTTATTTTCCTATCATAGGCATGACCAAGATGTTTGACAAGCCAAGGAAACGAAAACGACAGAGACATGTTACACCCAAGGTGCAGTGCAAAAGAGTGAAAAATGGTGACTCATCAAAAGAAACTCCAGGCTTGGAGGTATTACTCAGTTCCTGATCTTTTGACCTTTTAAAGGCAAGCTACTTTTCATAGTAGAGGCCATGTCCCTCTCCCTTGCATTTACTTATGGTAGTATTCTATTGAAATGGCTGATAGGTATAAAGAATCCTTAAGTAGAAGGAGAACCTGATCCTAGTAAAATAAGTCACATATTGCAACTGTGGGTATGGCCTTTAAAAAGATCACTTTGTATCACCTAGGGCGCTTGGTGTCAAGTGAAATGTACCGTTAGTAGTAAACTTGTTCTTAAACCAAAGAACACAATATCAAGTAACCATGTGATCTGAATGAACTTAGAGAATGTATAAACTCAGATAATGCCCTTTAAAAGTTAATACCGCTCCAATTAGGAGGAAATTCATTTGTGTATTTTTGACCATGAATTGGTTAACTTTAAGACAGTATGTGTAAGCATCATCTTTTAAGAAAGAAGGATTTAAAACCATTTTCATGCCGTACCTCAGTGCAGTCATTGATGCCATATCTCACTTTCTAACTCAGGTTAAATAGAATTAGGAAAAAAGAGAGAATTAGAACCAGTCAGAACAGCATCCCACATTATAACACCAAGTGTTTCTTTCCAGGACAATTGGAATAGAATGCCCAAAGGAGGCATTATTTAGGAAACACTGATCTTGGAAGGACATATAAATAATCAAATAAACTTAAGAATGTTTTCTCTTCCTTAGTGAAACCTTTAAGTGGAACAACTCAAAAAGTTCCAGTGGAACAGCCTCAGAGCAGTTAGTGGCAGGGCATGAGGCGCCCACTACCCGCCCAATCACAGCAGGGTTAGAACTAACATTGCATGCAGTCCGCCCACGTGATTGGCTGAACATCTGTAAGTGATTAATGGCTAGACAATAGCAGCCCAGAGGGAGGGGGTCAAATGGAGACATCAATAATGCAGATCGGGGACATTATTTTTTTCTCTGCAAGGGAGAACTGATGACTCACAGGACAGCTGCAAGCCCGAAGGAGAATATTGAGGAGGGCATAGAACACGATGCTGGGATGTCTTCATCTAAAAGAATGCAGAGTGAACGAGGAGGAGGAGCTGCACTCAAGGAGAATGTTTGTCAGGTACAGGATCTTTGCTTACTTATATCTTCATTTCATGCTTATCTTTTAATAGAAGCCCTGTCTATTAAAAAAATAGTATGGAACTATTGACATCATAGTGGTTAGAAAAAAATTGCTTTTGGATGGTTCAGTGGAGTCACTTTAAGCTTGTAATTCTTGTCAGTAAAAAAGAGAAAGAGAAATAACTTAGTGTGATGCATCACTTTCCCTTGCAGGCATACCCTCCGACGGGTCAGAGGTGAGAGATATGCATATACTTTTACTTAGTGAGACATAATTTTCTTGATCTGTACCTCACACAGTATGACAATCTAGGTTTCTAAAGATTTTTTTAAGGTTACATTAGCTTTGAGTTTTTGTTGTTCTTGATCCTGTGTTGGTTTGTGTTGGCCTTGAAGTGGTGACTTTAAAAGAATTTTTCCATTTATTTAATAAATATATATGTGCAATATTAGGTATTTTATTCTAAGTACTTTGTAAATAATTCATCATTCAGTTATCATAATAGTCTCATAAAGTAGAGTTCTGTTTTGAAGAATTTGAAGCTACAGAAAGATTAAGTAGCTTGCATATAATAGACAAAAGCCTGGATTCAACATAGGTGGGCTTGCTTTAGAATCTTAAACATTGTGTTACTATTTTCCTTCACTAAGAATTAACTCTTATTTTATTGTTTAAGAGCCTTTATTTGTGTTTGGGAGTTGTCAGCTAAGTGGATACTTAGGATATGTCTTGATTTAGCTATATAAATTGTTAAAATTCACATATACAAGTTCGATACTATTTTTTAATTGAAACAATTAAAATATAAACGCAAGCCCAGTATATTTTATTGTGATTTACATGATTTTACTACAATTTCTTTGCCTGTTCATTTCCTCTATTACACATAGAACTTTCGATAATATTTGAACGAGCGCCTAAGCAGTGTTATTCTTCAAAAATAGTTACGCTAATTATTGAGCAAGAGAAGTCAGTATAAATACCCTTTACAGAGATTATTATTGTTACTTTTTTAAATTAAAGGTACCATGACCCTGGTCTTGGCTTGTCTAGTTGAGTGTGCGTATTTGTTTTCCTGGTATAATCTACTAGTAGCATCGTCTTCACTTTCAAGTGTCCCTGTTTAAAGATGAATGACATGGTCATTCCAACTAAAGTGTTAGTCTGTAACATTTAGGTCACTTGAAATTTTTATTCTTCAGTTTCTACACTGTTTTCTATTAAAGCCTTGAAGGTAAATTTGCTCACTATTTATGAAAACTGATGCCATTGGCACTCTTAGCATACAAAACAGAATATATAACATGGTGCTTTTCAGTTTTTAGGTGTCAATAGTAGCTAATGGGTGAGTCAAATATTTGAGAATGCCTTGGGCTACAGGTTAAAGCCCTGGGGCCCTTCCTAATTTTAGGATTCCTTTCTGCCCTTCCTGAAGTTTTCCTACTCATTTGTTTAAGCGTTGATGTCTTTAAGTGATCAAGACCTGTTCTGTTTCTTTGATTTCTTAACTATAGTAAAACTTCTTTCCTTTCTTGTCTTCTCCATTAAGTACAGCCAGTCTTCTTATCCAGGTATTCTTAGGTTCTACATCCATGGATTCAATGAATTGTAGATGGAAAATATTTGGAAAAAGAAAGTTACATGTTCAGAACATGTACTAAATAGTTTAACCCAGGATGGTTGGTTCTATTTTGAAAATTAATATTTTTTCTTGGCATTATTCCCTAAACAATACAGTATAACAATTATTTACATAGCATTTACATTGTATGAGGTATAATAAGTAACCTAGAGGTGGCGTTTATAAGAGGATATGCATAGGTTAGTTGTAAGTGCTATGCCATTTTATGCAAAGGTCTTGAGCCTCCATAGGCTTTGGTATCCATGGAAGGTCCTGGTTGATAGATAAAGCACCCCTCCTTTTCCCCTTTTGTAGCATTTTTGTGGTATAGGGCTACAAATCAGGATTTTAGAGTAGTGAAAAATAATGTTGGGAATTTACAGAATTTTCATAAACCTTACAGTTTATACAAATTTAGACCCTCATTTTCTAATACCTTGTCTTAAATGATAATTTGTCTTAGGTAAGATCACCTTACAAATGTGATTTCTCTGCGATGAGTCTACCGATCTATGGCCATTAGACATTCTTAGTATTTCTTTTTTTTTTTTTTTTTTTTTTTTTTTTTTTTTTTTGTTTTGTTTTGTTCTGTTTTTTTTGCCCACCCCCACCCCCACCCCCGCCGGGGATTGAACTCACAACCTTGCGCTTGCCGGGCAGACTCTGTGCCGCTGAGCTAAATCCCCAGCCCCCATTCTTAGTATTTCTTTTGGAACTGATAACTCAAGTTCAGCTGACCAGTATCACTTGCTTGAACCACTACAATGTAACCTTCTGATTTTGTCTTTGCTCTTGCCTTTTTATTATTGTTTTTCCATGTAGCAGCCAAGGGATCTTTTGACAATGAAAACCTCATTTCACCCTTCATTGGTGAAGCTTTTCTGTGCTGTACCTTTGCAATCAGAATAAAATCTAACACTATAGGCCATTACCTCCTTGTATTGTGCCACTTGTAACTTTTGTTTACTTTAGTAACAGTTGCTTTCCTTGTGGTTCTCCAGTATGCCATGGACTTTTGTACTTTCTGCCTTACTTGTTCTTTGTTCAGTTTATCACATGCCTGTCTTATCCTTCGTAGCCCAGTCTGAGATGCTATCCCTAATCACCATAACCAAAGTACTCATTTGAATTCTGTACCTAATGTAATTATTATTTGATACCTTTCCCTCTTGTTTGCTTGTATTTTCTGTCCCTAGAATATTAGTATCATAACAGCCAGGGATCTTGTACCTGGAACATGGGAAGTAATTTTTAAATATTAGTTCAATGAATGATGGGATTTTATGATTTCTGTAAAGCTTTCTTAACCTTTACCCTCATGAAGGGTACTTTCATTTAGGATTTTCTGAAATATTTTTTTCTATAGACAAATCTGTTTTCTTTTAACAGAACTGTGAGAAAGTGGGTGAGCTGCTATTATGTGAGGCTCAGTGCTGTGGGGCTTTCCACCTGGAGTGCCTTGGGTTAACTGAGATGCCACGAGGAAAATTTATCTGCAATGAGTGTCGCACAGGTAAAATAGATACAGAAGGGTCTTCTTCCAAAGAAAATTTGAGTTTCAGTTGTTGCAGGGGGAAAAAAAATTTATTGGAGACATTTTTCTATGGCCATGCTGGACTTCTTCCTACACTTACAGAAATGCATACTGTGTGGTTCCTACCCTCAGAAAAGCACAAAGTGGATAATAAGCAGTTTGATGTATGGCACAAAGAGCATTATAGTAGAGATACAGTTTAAGTACGATGTGAGACGCAAAAAGTTTGAGTCCAGCGTGCAATACATAGCCAGACTCTATCTTAAGAGAAAAAAAGTACAGTATGAGCAAAGATGAGCTAATTTTAAAAGGAGGATATCTGAGTGTGGTTTCAGAGAGAAATAGAAATTGATGTAGGCCAGAGCAAAGGCACAAGGTCTAGTATTGAAAGTGTATGAAATAATTAACAAGTGGGGAATGTATGCCAATGTATATAAATAGAGATTAAGATAGTTTAATTCCCAAGCATAAGTAGTAACTAGGAGGGCTTCTGGGTTACTAGTAATATTTTTATTGCTTAATCTCAGTGTTGACTGTATGAGCATGTTCACTTCATGCTACTTATGAACTATACATTTAAGATGGGTGCACTTTTCCTTTGGGTATCATATATCAATACGTTTATCAATAAAAGAAAAAGATTGCTTGGGAAAGTTATTGTATAAACTTTGAAAAAAGATTGCTTGGGAAAATTATTGTATAAACTTTGGTCAGGCCAGTGTGGTGGTTCGTGAATGTAATCCCAGCACTTGGGAGGCTGAGGCAGGAAGATTGCCATGAGTTCAAGGCTACCTGAACTACATAGCAAGACCCTATCTCAAAAAACAAACCAAAAAAAGACTGGGTCAGAAAATGGGAATGGGCCAGGCATGGTGGCGCACGCCTATAATCCTAGCACTCACTCAGGAGGCTGAGGATTGTTGCAAGTTCGAGACCAGCCTGGGCTACAAAGTGAGCTCAAGGCTAGCCTGAACTGCATAGCGAGACCTGTCTCAAAAAGGCCAAAAAAAGAAAGAAAGAAAATG